ATATGTCTTGAAAGTCCCAAAACAACCGTTGCAATTTAGTCAGTTGATTATTGTCCAAATCAAAAGCTTCTAGTTTACCAGATTCCACATAATAAAAAAACATACCCAAATTACAACTGTAAAATTCCTTATCAAGCTACTGGAATGATATCTCTTGCACTTGGGGAGGTACATGGTCTGTATGATTGAGCTTGTAGTGCACCTTACTTTTGGTGAATTCCATAGTTAACAACTGAAAGTCCCATAAGACAGGACTGATGATGGATAACCATTACACTTCCCATGCCGCATCACAGCCACTTAATGACAAAAAGTATAAATCAAAATAACAAATATAAACTTCTATTTCCAAGGATGAATTCATGTTGCAACCTTGACTTCTTACCTTCTCACCATCAACAATAATGACATCAAAAGGTTTGGTGTGCTAATATTGCCAACCCAATTACTTAACTAGCCTTGAATCAATGAAGTTGTGAGTACTTCCAGGATCCAACAAATTTTTCATAAACTGTTTGTTCACTACCCCCTTAACCTTCATGGTTTGAATCTTACTAGTTATAGTACCACAAAAAGCTATTTCACTTAGAGACATTTGTTGGAACTCAACCTGAATTTCTTCATTGATTTCAACATATCCTCATCCTCCCCTTGAACCACATGTAGCATGAGTAATTGGTTTTGGTTACATTTATGGCCTCTCACCCACTTTTCCTCACAAATCCAACATTCTCTTCTCTTTCTTACGCTGGACTTCAGTGAGGGTGAGTTTCTTAAAATGAAAGTGCTGTTTGTTTATTTTTGGGGTAGACATGTTAAGGCCAATGGAGGAGGTTTAGCAATTAATGATGCAATATTAGAGACCCTAGATGTAGTGGTTTTAAGTTTAACTAATTTCTTATCTAATTGCACAAAAATGATGCTCACCTCATGAGCATTAACAGGCCTAAACAACTTAACATCATACTTCAATTCGCATTTCAATCCAGCTAAGAAACAACTCTTAAGCAAATTTGGATAGGCTTCTTTAGTACGATTAGCAAGGAATTGAAAATCAAGTACATAATCCTTAAGAATACCTTATTGACGAAGTTTGGACAAAGCTTCAGCACTATCCTTGAATTTGGATGGACCAATTTCTCTGTAAAAGGCCTTGGTGAACTCTTCCAGTGTGGTATGGCCTGAAGGCAGTTCTTCCAGTGGAATGACTGGAGAACCTCTCATTCTAGCTGAAAGGAAACGGTCACCACCTCCTGGTGCTCAAAGGTGTTGTAGTAGGCAAAAAATTATTCTGCCTTGTAGATCCAAGTAAGTGGGTCGTCTCCTTCAATGAAATGAAGAAAATCAATCTGCTACTACAACTGAGGTCGCAAAGATTAACCTCCACCATCATAGATCTCGTAATGAGGTGAGCGATGAAGGCCTAGATCTTGTGGTTCAGCTTCCTTAGATGCGCCAGTTGAATTAGTATGAACGATCTTTAAAGAAAAAGTTGTAACCCTCCCATAAGAGAGCAACCATTTTAGCATCAAGAGCTTCAAAGAGGTTAGATGTGGCCTTAGGAATTGCATCAACAGAAGATTTGAGCGCATCAACAGAAGATTTGAGCGCAGCAACAAGAACACCCATGGCGGATAAACGGGAAGCATTTGTGTGACAGGGCATACAAATTAAGGAAATCCAAGAACGAATGGGTGATACCAACGATAAGATTTGCTTCAACCTCAACCTATAGCTCAGGCAACAATGGAAGAAGGCGTGGGGAAGAAGATTGAGCAAATGCTCTCTATTGTTTTTTGTATTATATTATTTTCAATCAAAATGACCATTGGCCAACTACACGCACTAGTGGCCAAATATAACAACCCAAGCAAATATTGCCAGCTGGCAATTACAACAATATTTCCTAATTATCAGCAACCAACTCATTAGTTAACTAAGTAAAGCTATTAAGTATGATTAAGCTAAACTTAATTCATAACATAGAGAGTAGCTCAATTACTTATAAGCATATACAATGTCTATTTTTTCTCCAATGTAAGATTAATACTTTCAACCGGAAAGACTCCAAATTCATCGTTCAATATTTTATTAATTTTCATAAATAGACTCTAACGTCACAAGTCAACCATGACCAAGGATAATATATGATGAAATGCCTTTTGGCCTTTTATTCACAAAATCAACGCAGGAGGTAGAGAGGGAAAAGGGATCCGCTCCGAATCTCTTTCTCCTAATTCATTAAGTTTGGGGATCCGGATCATTGAAATTTGATCCAACGACTAAAGTTATTATAATTTTTAAAGTAAACCCTTGTTTGTAGTTGTTGGATCAAATTTCAATAGACAAAGGTCCTTATCTTGAATTAATTTTTGACTTTTGTATCATATATTTTGAAATTTATGGCAAGTCAACCCTGCCAATTGGTCTTCAAAGTCAAGTCTAATAATAACTATTTTGTTGTTTGCATGAAATCTAAATCAACCGCTTTTCCGTTGAAAATTAATTGGTATATTAATTCAGTATTTTTTATTGACTAGTTTGGTAGATAGCACTTCCATCGCAACACATAGTTATATGTGACTCATGTAATTCCATAAGAGAAGCATTATGTTATGCATAGTATAAGCTCTTGAATCGAACCCTTTCCTCCGCAAAATCCAAAAAAAAAAAACAGCGATTGCATCTACTATGTATTCCCAGATTTGGAATCAACCATTGATTACTGAAGAATACTACAATCCATGCTCCAAATCCGAAAACTTTTCAATTTCTAGGAAACATGGATCCCGATTCAGTGAAATCCACCCTCCAAAATCTAGCACTCGAAAATGTAATGGCCGCAGCAGTCCGTAATTACCAAAAAGAAAATCAAGATAAAATCTGACGAAGATTTACACTTTATTTAAAACCCTCAACCCAGAAAAGCAAAAAGCTCAGAAGCACATGAGAAAAAATCAAAAGTTTTCTGTTGAAATTGGTCTGCAGTAAAAATACCCAAGTCCTTGGTGATGGAGAAAACCCAGAAAACTCAAACGGCAGAAGAAGAAGAAGAAGACAACGAAGAAAAACTTTGGTTGGAGAAGGCAATTCCAACGGTGTCAACTCAGATTCGCCAAACCAAGCGTTTTGTGAAGCCGACTAATTAGACCGACGCCTTGGAGGGGACAACTTAGCGGGCACGAACCTTATTATTTAGGTGGGCTCAGATTAATAGTTCGATGACTATATTTACGATAAGGGCGCCAAACAATTGAATCCATATAATTAGTCCTATCTGATGTTCTATACAGTGTGTCAAACAAGGTCTAAATGTTTTTAGCCTGCAAAATATGTTTTGGGTAATATAAGTACGTGGGTCATGCTTCATTGATATATACGACACAAAGTTGTGTTTGTTGGTTCTCCATCTTGTGGCCCTCATATTCGTCGTATAATCGCAGATATATTTGATATATATGTATATATATATATATGGTATGACTTGTGAATAAAGTGGCCAGAAAAAACGGTTCTGGGGAATTCTTGTATGTACTTGGACGCAGACCTGCCATGCCCTCGAGCCTTCAAGTTAGTTTGGTATTGCTCTATTTATTTGGGTGAATTCGATTTTCAATACTAGAGTACTATAACCCAAGTTATAAGCGACATCTATCAAATCAAGGAGCAAGAAAATAAAGTAAGGATGTCGCACTCCTTTTGCTAGAAACGCAAAAAGCAATTAATTCAGAGTTCACATACAATTTATTGTGAAAAATATTTTTAAAACGAAGTGATAGAGATTTCATTTGATATTTAAGAACCGATCGAATATCAAAAAGCATACTTGTAACAATATTTAAGAGGGACCCAATCTAAAAGACTTGAACAAAACATAAAAAACTGGTCAAATTAGTTGACGATATACTGGTGGGTTTGAGAGAGACAAGTTCGAGGATGAGCAACGGAACGTATCCAAATCTTGAGATCATCCACACACAAACTTTGAAGGCTCAAATGGCATTCCAAAGGCCAATGAACTCTATTACTTATAAGTACATGCAAGGTTGCTTTTATCCTCAATTGGGGATTAATACTCTCAACACACCCCTCACATGTGGTAAATTTTCAAGCTTAGCACGTGAACAACACAAATCGGATGATGTGGAGCACGTGTGGCCATTAACCTTCACACATAGAACAAACTGCTCATGTACAATGTGAGCAATAGGTTGTGTGTAGGGAGATGCGTCAATGGTGCAGACGTTGCGATTTTGTCACATCATAGGAATGCAGGTACAAGTGGTTAAATTGCAAATCAGGAGTGGATTGTGCAGGCAGACGGAGTTGCGCAAGTGAATGTGACGGCGAGGATGAATGAATTGCAGCAGTGGGTTTGTGCAGATGCAGGTGGTAGTTAAATGATTCGGATGGTGAGTTGACTCCGACACAGAACAGATTCGGGGGTTCATCAGATGCTTCATGATTATCCAACCCTTAATTTCCCAAAAAAAAAAAAAAAAAAAAACTTTCACGAACTAAAATAAGACAAATCAAGAAACTTATACCAACCAAAGCATATTAAATCCCCAAATAACAATCTAAAAAGTAACTCAATTACTTACAAGCACATGTAATGATCATTCTTTCTTCAAGGTAGGATTAATACTCTAAACAGAAATGACTGCAAAATCATCGTCGAACATTTTATTAATTTTTCATAAGTAGACTCTCATGTCACAAGTCAACCTTGACTAGGGACTATAATACAATTCCGCTAGTGAGAGATCTGTAAAAATCATAAAAAAAAGAAGAAGATTAAAATCCCTCCTTGAAGTCCTCATAAAGACATAATATGCCATGTTCCTAAAACTGCGCAGCCTCTCTTTCTCCCCTTGAACCTTTCCCAACAAAAAGGACGATGATGGGTATGAAAACAAAGACATAAAAGAAATAACGGGTTTGTTTTACGGGCTAACGTCGTACTGTCAGTGGCAGCATTGTAATTCACGATAAGAACGAGGTTTTTGTTAGATAAGCAGTGTTATAAGACGCAAATTAGGTGGGAGGTGATGTTTTACCGACAGACTTTGGATCTTTACATTTGCACTCAGAAGCCAAGGAGAACACGAAAACTGAAGCTCAAGGGTGATCATCAACCACACACCACATCTTCAGGTCTGTCAAAAACCCATCAGAAACTCAAACGGGTTTTCACCAAATCTCATACTTTTAATTTCTTTATTTTATTTTATTGTTCTTCAAATTAGATTATTTGATGAAGGTGATAACTTGGTGGTAAATTTAGTAGCTTTGAATTTGTTATTTCAAGCGTGAACTTGTGTTGTGAGAGTGAGAGGTAGTATTTCATCTCGGCTTTTCATTTTTTTAACCAACGATATGATATTTTACGCTAAATTCATGTAAACTTGGGGGAGTGGGATTTGCTTTTGGTTTGAACTTGTTTTCTGTTTTTGTTTGAATAAAGATATGGCGATGGTTTCATAATTCTAAGGTTAAATTCAAGGTCTTGATTTTTTGTTCAAACCAGAAATGAAGTTTCAGATTACTCTGAACATTTTCTTAATATAAACTGAGAGTTATAAAGCTACAGCAATGATTGAGATGAAAATTATGCGCTCGATTCCCATATATCTGTAGGATTGTCCTCCTTTTCGACTTTACAGTTTATGCTAAAACGCCTCGAAGATAAAAATTATTTTGACAACATTAGCTAGAACGTGTGGGCATCTCAAAGAGATTGCTTCAATACTTTTCACTAGAATCTTTGAAATATATTATCTTTGTTCGTCTTGATAACACTTATTGTCTTGTTACCGTTTTCTGCAGAGTATGCACTCTCTTTAATATGCCACCGTTTTCTACCAGAGTTTGCACAAGCGTTTCCAAGATGGTTATGATGGATCTGCATGTTATGATGTGGTCAAGGTTCAGTCTTGAAATAACAAGAGTTGTCAGTTAATTTGGGAAATTTTGTGCCAGAAAAGCTCAATAGCATTTCATTTGGTTATGATCAATCAAACGAATTGGCTATCCTGAAAATGCAAGAATCTTACAAGCATGTAATCCCGAATGTTTCTCATCCGTTTGGAGAACAGCCTGTGGAAGAGCCGGAGTCTTATTGTTGGCCTTCCTTCCAGAATGCTGACCATCAAGCCTCTGATGAGGTTATCCAAGGAACTAAGCTTTCAGTTCAAAGATTCGAACAGCACTCCACCCTTGAGTCATCCTCGGGAACCAGTGCCTACCCTGGTCGCAGTTCTGCATCAAGTTTAAATTTCTCAGGAAATGGAAGTCCAGCTTCACATCCAGATTTGCATTCCTACCAGTCTGGTGGCTCTCCTGTCAACCAGTCGTGCATGTTAACTGATACGGATGACCTGGGTCACAAAATTAGGGAACTGCAAAATGCTTTGCTGGGAAATGATTCAGATGCCTTTGACGTGTACGACATCATAGATGAGGCTGGGGCGAATCAAATTTATTCAGAAGCAGAACACCGGGAGCAGATGATGTTGATGATCTCCAGAGGTGACTTGACAGAAGTGCTTTGCGCATGTGCAAAAGCATTGGCAAACAATGATATGTCAACGACTGAATGGTTGATCTCAGACCTACGTCAGATGGTGTCAGTTTCAGGTGAGCCAATCCAACGTTTAGGAGCTTACATTTTGGAAGGTCTCATTGCAAGGTTGGCCTCGTCGGGGAGTTCTATCTGTGCATCCCTAAGATGCAAGGAACCTGCCAGTGCTGAACTCCTCTCGTACATGCACATGCTTTATGAAATCTGCCCATATTTCAAGTTCGGATATATGTCAGCAAATGGGGCGATTGCAGAAGCTATGAAGGATGAAAGTAGAGTTCATATAATTGATTTTCAGGTAGCTCAAGGTACTCAGTGGATTACTTTAATCCAGGCTTTAGCTGCTCGGCCAGGAGGACCCCCACAGATTAGGATCACGGGCATAGATGATTCCGCATCAGCTTATGTTCGGGGAGGGGGACTTGGTGTTGTGGGACAGAGGTTGTCAAGGCTTGCGGAGTCATGTAAGGTACCCTTTGAGTTCCATGCTACTGGAATTTTTGGCTCCGAGGTTCAACTTGAGGACCTTGAGATTCGACCTGGCGAGGCTATTGCAGTGAATTTTGCCTTCATGCTGCACCACATGCCAGATGAGAGTGTGAGTAGTCATAATCACAGGGACCGGTTGATGAGGCTTGCTAAGAGTTTGTCACCCAAGGTGGTGACTCTTGTTGAACAAGAATCAAACACCAACACAGCCCCTTTCCTTCCCCGTTTCATTGACACGCTGAGCTATTTTAGGGCTGTATTTGATTCAATTGATGTAGCTCTGCCAAGGGAGCATAGGGAGCGGATCAATGTCGAGCAGCACTGTCTGGCACGAGAAATTGTTAACATTATAGCTTGTGAAGGGGCGGAAAGGGTAGAACGTTATGAGCTTCTCAGTAAGTGGAGGTCACGATTCATTATGGCTGGTTTTTCGCCTTGTCCTCTGAGCTCCTTCGTAAATGCAACAATCAAGACTCTACTGCAGAGTTATTCTGAGAAGTATACGCTTGAAGAGATAGACGGAGCTTTATATCTCGGCTGGATGAATCAACCACTGGTTGCCTCTTGTGCATGGAGGTAAAAACACTTGAAAATTTGTGTTTCTTGGTCTTGTATTGAACCCTAAGTTATCTTCTGCTCGTTTGAACTCTTCGTCTTTCGTTTTTTATTCTCGTTGGGATAAGTTATCTTTGGCAGAGTGATAGTTATGTTATGTTGCAACTTGCAAGGGTTATGCTTTAGCAGAAATAAATGAGCCTTTTTCGTATACATCAACATTTCTCCCTGCAATTGTCCTGCAAACTATTACATTTACGTTCTTCCACCTTGCGATGGAACTGGTGTCGTCGCTGAATTCCTCGCTACTTGTACTCAATTGAATGTCATTCTTCACTCTGCATTCTGTGTCAAAGTGTGACTGAATTAGCTCGAAACTTACAGAGCTCGGATACTCGCTTCAATTCCCCATTGCGACAGGCCATTGTTGTGCCGTTACCATAGAATCTCAACAGCTCGTTTCCATCTACCGTGCTTCTTAGATGCCTCGTAAACTCTCTCTTTGGATATCTTCATCATTTCTCTGTACAAACGGTTACAACCTTTTGAGCGTTTCTATGGAGTTCCACACCCTCAGGACGGTTTTGATCCTGCTTGACGGCGTTGAATGTTGCTTCAGCCCCATCGTTTTATTGACTTGCGAATTCATAGATTTCCACATACATTAATGAGGGACCTTCGTTAGTCCAAATCCTTTTCCATTCTTTTTTATTAAATCGCCACACTTATTCATAATCCCTTAATCCGGTAAAATCCATCACTTTTAGAAATCCTTTAAAATCGATGATTTTTTTTTATACATATAGGCGTTTGTAAAGTTCTTTAAAATCTTAATTGAATCGGATTTTTATTGCTTTTTATGAACTCCACTTGATTCCTGATGATTACCTGAGACTTTCACAAACTCATTTAAAATCCTGACTGAATACAACACTCGGACCATTAATTACGGGAGGGCATCCCTACAACTTATCTTCGACTCCGTCGTTTTACGATGCATTATACTTCTTGCATCTACATTTATGAAAACTTTATCATCTAGCAGCAACAGACAGTATCACCATTTTCAGACGCAAATGACACAAATGACACCAGACTGCAACGTGCTCCGGCATCTACCCCTGCTCAAGCTTTAGCAATAGCACTCACCATGCCGAGCAAACTTAAGGCTCTAAAGCAGCAGCTCGGTGAGTACTATATACTTTTAAAATCCCGTCACAAACGCGAAAAGAAACAAAATTTTCTTATAATAATTGAACATTTTAAGCATTTGAATTACAACACATGGTGTCAAAGACTCTGAATATAATATTAATATTGATTCATATTTGTACATGCTAGTATTCCCTGACAAGTTAATGTTACAAATACATTACTTGGACAGAGAAGGCTTTTTGTAGCAGGCACCTAATTATAATACCTCTTTCTTTGAAATAGACATACCTTTGTTTTTATTTTTCGGTCTGAAACTGAGATGCCCTTTTGACCTTCGCCTGTGCCGAAGAAGGGGAGAAGCAGCTTATTTCTGTTGGCTTCATCGTAAGAAATTTCACGGACCTGTTAGTACTCTTCCCATGTTCTGTGGATATGGGTATGAGGAATGATTTAAAGGTCGAATTTCGATGCTGCGTGATTCACTTGGGTTTTCCCTAGATCCATACTGATTCATGCCACCATTAAGAACACCATAGTATGTCGAAACAGGGGTATTTTGAGCAACCCTGAAATTGGAATTCGTGTGAGATTGCCGTTCCACAAGATCAGAGTGCAGTTGCAGGTGCTCGTTGGTTCTAATTTCGCCACCAGAGGTCATTCCAACACCAAGATCAAGGCTTATGGTGTCACTTTCTTCTGGTCTAATTCTCGACAGGACATTCACAGTTGTTGGTCCTGAAGTGTCATGGCTGCTAGACTTTGCAGTAGGGACGTCATGATTATGTTTCCCTTCATATGTAGTTATAACTGCTTTTGGATCATGCGATGCCCTCTCCACATGTTTTCTAACAGGGCATCCAGCATTGGTGCACTTGTAATAGCTCCTGCATAACACATGACAACGATGAGAAACCACATAAATCTTTTGGGAATTGCAGTTAACAAAGAGTCGAGCCATATAGTTCATACACTTACTTTAAATTAAAGGTAGTAACTAGTTATGAGTGCTCCTATTATCACCCCATTTTATATATTTGTGGTATGTTCTTAATCCGATTTGTAATTAAAGTTTACCATGACGTCAATTACCTAAAAAGACAAAAAACAAAAACAAAAAACAAAAAAAAACAAAAAACAAATAAACAGAGAGAAAGTTCTTTGGAATATTGGGGGTATTGCAAGTTGTGTTTTTCTATTTAAAAAAAAAAAAAAAAAAAAAGTAACAGTGCAGGGTGGAAATAGAAACACTTCCTAGTTATTCAGAACCACCATTGTGATTTATACATATACGATGACCAAACACAGCACGCAGCTAATTAGTAAACAAGCATGCTCGAGGTTTTTCTACAATGCTAGAGGTTACATCTGTGGTTAAAAGTTATAGGCTAGTTCAATTTTGGGAAGAGATCTTGCATTATTCTTTTATTCCTTGTTTCTTCAAGATGATTTTTGATAGACCTTTTACACAATTAGTGAAGTCAAGCTTCGGGCCAATTGAGCAATATTCAAAAGTACCACGACAATCTCGGTGAAAGTACCATTGTTCAAGACTTCTTTCTGAATATTCACTTTAAAAAGCAGAGTCTCAGTTAAACTCTTTAATTTCATAGACGAAAAAGGGGGAAATGGCTGGGGAGATGAAGGCAAGTTTCGGTTAAACTAATTGGGAAGAACCGTAAAAGTACCAACAAATAATTGCATATTTGCCTGCACGATTAATCTCTAAAGACATCAACTGTCAGACCCAGTGCTTATACTATATTTAAGAAAATTATCCAAATTTCTTCCTGGAGGAGCATGATACGGCCAGAGGAGGGTGGGGGAGTGAATTGCCATAGGCCGTCCATACAAGATCATGACAGTTCGAACAACAGCTGCCATAGCAGAGACATTGGGCTTTACTTTTTGCATGAATGTTATTGTTCCCACCTACTTAGTTTTCAGAATAGTCCATTAACCATAACAGAAGAAAGCCCAACAACTTTATGAGTACTCACAAAGTTATAAAATCAGCACTGAAGCTATAAAATCAGTACTCACAAAGTTATAAAATCAGCACTGAAGCTACATCTTGAAACAGATGAAAATCAGTGAGAAGTAGCCTAGCCATACCTTGGATTAGGATTTCCCCTCACCACTTTCTGACCATATTTGCGCCAGCGGTATCCATCATCTAATATATCAACCTCGCTGAGAGTCTGAACAACAACTCGTGGTTCTCGGATAGGCTTAACAATTGGTGTGATATCAATGCTACCAACATCCATCCTCCTGCTCAACAAATTTGACACCTTGTTAGTTAGGGAAAATGAACAACACTAGAAAAACATAAGCATTTCTTGAACATTTATACCTCCTTTTTGAGAATTGGTCATCCTCATCAACCTCATCTGGCAACCTATTTGACAGTGAGCCTGTGCCTTCTACACTATCATCATTGCCTGTGACAGGAGAGAGCTCAGGAGTACTATTTGGCTCATTGTTACTAGACATTTGCCCATAAATGCTGGATGGTTTGTCTACAATTAGAGAAGAAAAACAAAATTAGAAGAGATGATAGAAGAACATTAGTTTATTTGTTAAATAGCTTATGAGAATTACTCTGACGCTTACCATCTTGACCAGTCAATGATGAAGCCTTGTCAGATCTTTCTTCTTGAGCAGGCATCATAGCACCAGTATTATATCGTCGACTTGGTTGAGGCTTAGGATGATCATGTGTACCCTTGTAGATAATCTCTGTTATCTGTCCATCATGAGATCGCTCAAATAGCTTCTTCACTTCACAATTAGGATGGGTACATTTGTAATAACTGCGAGGAAATTCACTCCCTTTAACATGCTTTTGTCCATATTTTCGCCAGTTATACCCATCATCAGAGGATATTACTGAAGGCCCATTTCCTTTGTTATCACCCTGAGATGTTTGGACCCCAGGATGTGGATGTTCCCTCTGTGTTAAGTCACCCGAATCATCTTCCACGGGTGCACTAGCTCCTCCAGTGTGAACAGGTGCAGATAAACTCAATTCATTTGAAGAGACTGCCATCTCATTTTTAGCCAAAGTTGGTGATGCATGTGATTGAGGCTGAGTTTGACCTGGCACTTGCACGGGCTGCTCATTCCTATAATGGTTATAATCTGTAGTAACCTTGAATAATTGTAAAGCATTAGGCAATCAGTATTCTACAACCACTTTGGCACACTTGTAGATATATAAAGAACTTGAATGAAGACATATCATTGTTCTACAATTTAGAAAGAAATACGACGGTCCATCTCAACGAGAGTCTATCACTAGAAAACATTGTTTCTTATAAAGCATCTTTAAGAAACAATATCGAAAAAAAAACCAAATAAAGTATATTTCACACTAACAAATTTAATTACTCATCATACAGCACTTGATAGACAGAAAAGTACTGAAACAATAATGGTAAGTGATTAAATAAATCAGTTAATCTTCAGAATACGATCATATAAGATTTTGTAGTGTCAAGTAGACATCCACTGAAGTTTAAGCTAGAGCACAAAATTGGCCAAAGACCAATCAGCTAAACTTAGGATCGAGGCCACCATTTAATTAGTATCTTTCCTCACATACATAAAACATATCAGTCAAGGACGCAACTAATGAAAGAATAATGGACCACTAATCCATACAAATTACCATATTTGATATAGCATGGGGCTTAAACTCGAAGCTTCCAGAATTTCTTTCATCCGAGGTATTGAAATCCGAGCAAACTGTGGTTGCTGAGTATGTAGTAGAACTCAGAGATCCGTACAACATTTGAGGCTTCAAAAAGGACCCAGTAGTTGGGGAAGGTTCTGCCTGCAAGACCAGAAAAAGTAGAAATCAAGAAATATGTCACAAAATTCCTGGTCCAGATACCTTTTAATCAAGCAATGAGGCATGTACAGAATCTCGTAAAACTAGAGCGGGAGAAAATAAAACTCTTCATGAAACAAAAGCTATAAGGAAACTTGACAAGAAAATGTAGCCCCATGAGCTATCCCTGCAACTTTAAAGCCCTTTTAATTTGATGGAAAGAATT